GAGAGAGAGAGAGAGCATGAGTGGGTGAGGGGCAGAAGGAGAGGGAGAAGCAGACTCCCTGCTGAGCAGGGAGCTGGATGTGGGGCTCTATTACAGAACCCTGGCACCATGACCTGAGCTGAAGACCGATACTTAACTGACTGAGCCACCCAGGCACCCCTGAGAGAGAATCTTATGCAGGCTCCATGCCCAGCACAGAGCCTGATGCAGGTCTTGATCCCCATGACCCTGAGATCATGACCTGAGCTGAAATCAAGAGTCAGTCGCCCAACTGACTGAGTCACCCAGGTGCCCCTAGAATACAGTGGTATTTAAACTATGTTCCTAAGAGTCATAGGAAAAAAATATGGCCTCTGGGGGGGGGGTGGGGGCAATGAGTCAGGGAAGTTCTAGGTCCTTTATTCTACTTTAGAAATTTTAGGCAATATTTCTTTAAGATATATAGTCCTCTCGGAAAAAACTTGAAAATCAATGCTGTGTGGCATAGATTTACGTGTGTTTTTACAGACTCAAACTTGGCTTTTGAAAATAGTATTGGACCTGCTTTCAGGGCTTTCTTCTCTAATAGTCTGTAAATTTATTAAGGCCAGAGGCTGTTTCTTTTTTACTGTTTTCCATGATGTCTGGAATTGTATGGACTCAGTAAAAGCTTGTTAAATGAATTCAAGCCCTGGGAGTGGAGGGAATGTATAGAGAAGAGCTGAGAGGAAGGAAGGTACTTTTAAGAGCACTCACATTTAGGGAAAAGGAGAAACCAATGTATAGGAACAGTTAAGAAAAGTGTTACAGAAATTAAGGAAAAAGGAAATGTGTGTGTTGTATTTCAAGAAGACAGTGTTATGTTTGGCTGTATCCCTAGAAGTTATGCTGATGGATTTTGGAGTCAGACAGCAGGAGTCACTCATATCCATGCTTTGCCTCTTACTAGCTATATAATATTGGGCATACTGACTTGACTTCTTAAAAACCTAGTGTTCACATTTATTATGTGGGTTAATATTAAGTGATTAAGAGGTCACTGATGACCTTCAGGGTAGTGGGATTAAAAGACAGATTATAGGAGCTTGATTCTGCTGTATTTTGAAGCCTAAAGAACATATAGAAGCTTAGTGGGGAAGAACATTGAGACACTATAAAGAAAGATTTTTATATAAATGAAATACATTTTCTTGTGAGACCCTTACAGTTATATTTTTTAAACCACATTATTGGGAGTCGTTTACAAAAACATAAACCTATTAAATCAGAATTGGACTTTCCTATTGAAAGCATATTTCTCAAAATGTTATATCTTTTTTAAGTAAACTCAGTGGTAAAGAAATGCTTTTAAATATGTTGAGCTTTTCATGTTTTAAAGTATGTTTTGAAATTTTGAGAAGTCTTAACATCTTGATTCTAATTTTTCCTAGAAAAATTGCCTAAGTATAAGTTTTTTATGCTAATTTTTTATGACTTCTTATATAAGACTTTCCTGAAAAAACTACGCTGGCTGCAAAGCTATCTGCCAAGAAACAGGCTTCCATAAAAAGAGATGAAAATGATGATTTTCAAGTAGAGAAGAAAAGAATTCGACCCTTAGAAACCACACAGCAGGTAAACAGTTTATTGGCAGTGAAATAATACCGTTATCACTGTACACGAGAGTTAAGTATCAATCAAGTTTTCAGTGGCACTTGTACAATTTAATTGGGTTATATCATAGAAATTAAATGGTAAATTATTGTAAGTTCATTTTGTATAGTTATGCATTACAAAGGAGTTTGTTGTTATAGTAGATTACTCATAATAACATGTCTTTAAAGTGAAACAGCATGGTGCTTTTCTATATATGAAGAATTTGATGGTAAAATATTTACTTAAGGCATATATTGGTAATACAGATACTTTGTACTTTTTAAGTCCTCTGTTGTTTTTACCTAATTATGGCATTTTCTTTTGGTCAAAATATCTCTGATATGAATATTTTTGTTATTGATAGTTTAGCATAATGACAAGGTTTATTCTTATTTATTGAGTTTTAACATCAATACATGATAAAATGTATCTTTTTTTTTTTTAAGATTTTATTTATTCACTTGACAGCGAGAGAGGGAATACAAGCAGGGAGAGTAGGAGAGGGAGAAGCAGGCTTCCCGCCGAGCAGGGAGCCCCATGCAGGGCTCAATCCCAGGACTCTGGGATCATGACCTGAGCTAAACGCAGACGATGAACGACTGAGCCACCCAGGCGCCTTGATAAAATGTTTATTTCTAAAAATTACTGAAAGACCTGAATTACTAAATATTTTATATGAAATGTGTTTTTCATACATGAATACAATGTTTTTGGTTTTTTTTTTAAGATTTTATTTATTTATTTGACAAGAGACACAGTGAGAGAGGAAACACAAGCAGGGGGGAGTGGGAGAGGGAGAAGCAGGCTTCTCACCGAGCAGGGAGCCTGATGTGGGACTTGATCCCAGGACCCTGGGACCGTGACCTGAGCTGAAGGCAGACGCTTAACGACTAAGCCACCCAGGCGCCCATGAATACAATGTTTTGTCATAGAGTTCATGGCAGTGAGGTAGGGAGATAGGCTAGGACTTTGATAGACTTAGTTACAAATAAAGAGATTATTATAATTAATTAGCGTGTCCTTTGTAGATAATTATATATTTCTAATTGAATATACTCAAAAAGTGTTTGCGTTCTTCTGTAGTTTATCTATTCTACTTATAATCTTTATTAACTTCCATAGTTAAACTTTGATTTTAGAAATAGAATGAACTAGTTTATTTTTGGAAAAGTAGTGATTACAAATGAAGTATGAATCTGTATAGATTTTCTTCTTCAAAATGTGTACATAGAGTTGGATGTTGTGTGATAGGGCTCAACAAATAACATTTATTCTCTGACTTAATTGACTCTCATTTCTTTTTTGGTAGGAATGGGATTATCAATAGAAATGGTTTTTTTTTTCCACTTCATAATTTAAGTAAATAGGTTTTTGGCAAGTAGGAAAAGGCATAGACAGTTTAGAAAGAAAACTTAGTGGTATTTATAGAAGAAATTTAGTCAAGTACAATTTGAATTATCAAATATCTAGTAAGTAATAATAATACTAATAGTCAAATAATTTATTTTATCATGTAGGAAATCATAACTATTTACATTTAAAATTTTTATTCTGAGTTTTTAAAAATTATTTATTTTTTAAAGATTTATTTAGTTGAGAAAGATAGAGTTTGGGGGCAGAGAAGGGTAAAGAGAGAGGGAGAGAGAGAATCCCAAGCAGGCCAGTGTGGAGCCCCACACAGGGCTCTATCCCACAACCCCGAGATCATGACCCAAGCCGAAACCAAGAGTTGGACACTCAACTGAATGAGCCCCCACCAGCCGCCCCTGAGTTTTTGTAATTTAGAATGAAGTTTTATTTTTATTTACTTTTACTTTCCAATTAGGTATGTAATTGAACTTTGCTATAATACTACACTTGATATCCGTATGGTAGGACTATTTATGGGAAGATCATTTTACAATACTAGAGTTTTGACACATGACTAATTAAAGCTATTTTGGTTAGGATTTGAGAGATATAAGGTGCTCATTTCTGGGGCGCCTTGGTGGCTCAGTCGTTAAGCAACTGCCTTCGGCTCAGGTCCTGGTCCCAGGGTCCTGGGATCGAGCCCTGTATCAGGCTCTCTGCTCAGCGGGAAGCCTGCTTCTCCCTCTCCCACTTCCCCTGCTTGTGTTCCCTCTCTCGCTGTGTCTTTCTCTGTCAAATAAATAAAATCTTAAAAAAAAAAGAAGTGCTCATTTGTATTTTTAAAAATTGTTTGATTATTGCCAGTTAGAAAAAGTCATCTTTTTTTTAATGCTGAAAACATATCGAAAACTATTTTGACCTTCAAGAATAACTGGCCTGCTCAGACTTTTGTTTACATTAAACTTCCATTTTGGTTCTGTGTTTACAGATTAGAAAGCGTCATTGTTTTGAAAAGGAGGTACATCATTTGGATGCAAAAGTTGCTTCACGGAAGACCACAAAACTCAACTCTCCATTAGGAAAGATAAACTCCTTTTCTCCACAAAATGTATGTATTTATGCCATTGTTCAGTTTAAAGAAGGAAAATGTGGAATTTGCTAAACTCATTAAAAAAAAAAAAGAATAGTATAATGCAAAGAATAGTAGAAAACAATTCAGAAGTCCTCTAAGTGCTATCACATCTCTGCTACTAATATGTGAGATGGGAAATGCTATTTTCTTTGAGCTCCAGTTTCCTCATTTATAAAATGAAAGAATTGGGCTAGAAAGAAATCTGAAATGTTTTTTCCTCTTGTACGTTCTAATGTTGTGGACTCTACTTTCCTACAGTTCTTTTCAGTGTCCTTAGAGCAAATAGTTTTCAAGGAGTAGTCCAGGGAGCTCTAGAGATTACTGGTATTTTTTTCTCAGGCAAGTGTGTGTGCTCAAAAGTATTTTTATAGTAATAATGAGATGTTATTTGCCTTTTTAAAAACTGTCTTGACATTTTCATTGATGGTGCAAAAGCAACAATGGGTAAAATTGTCAGTGCCTTAGCACGATCAAGATAGTGGTACCGATCTGTTTTAATAGTGGTTTTCTTCACCATCATTAATGCACAGTTAAAAAAAAGCCAGTTTCACTTAAGAATGTCCTTGATGAAGTAGTAAAAATTACTAATTTTATTAAATCTCAGCCCTTAAGCTGTTTTAACATTCTGTGTGAAGGAGTGAGTAGCACTCAAAATGTTTTGCATATACGAATAGGATGATTGTCTTGAGGAAAAACACTTGTAAGATAGTTTGGATTGTTAGCTGAACTAGCCACTTTTTTTCATGGAACATCATTTTTACTTGAAAGAATGACTGACAGTTGAACTATGGTAATTCTTAAAGATAAAGTAAGCCTGATAAAATTTGAGTGAAAGTCAGAATTTTGAAAAACTGTATATGCCACTGTGAGCCTGGCAGTTTTATGATACTTACAGACTTTCCTGACGATAGTGGTGGTGATATTATAGAATGTGACTTTTTTGATATTATATAATGAAATGTGTTAACATTTATAAGATCTGTAAAATCAGGGAACCAAATATTTTCTGAGTGGCCTGTACATGATATTATAAGATAATGCCTGGAAAAGATCCATCCTAAGTGCCAGATAGACGAGTGGATTTTTTTTCTTTTGCCCTATCCCTCCATCCCCAGGCATCCTTAGACGTTTTTTTTCAGTCACTATAGATTAGTTTTCATTTCCATAGTTTTATGTAAATGGAATCATGCCTGGTTTTTTTTTTTTTAAAGATTTTATTTATTTTTTAGAGAGCGAGCGAGAGAGAAACAGCATGAGAGGGGAGAGGGTCAGAGGGAGAAGCAGGCTCCCCGCTGAGCCGGGAGCCCGATGTGGGACTCGATCCCAGGATCCTGGGATCGTGACCTGAGCCGAAGGCAAGACACTTAACCATCTGAGCCACCCAGGCGCCCTGCCTGGTTTTTTTAAATTAAATTTCAGATGTGAATTTTAATTGCTGGGTGTTGAATGTTGTTATATTTCTTTTTTTTTTTTTTAAGATTTTATTTATTTATTTGAGAGGGAGAGTGAGAGAGATAGTGAGAGCATGAGCTGGGGGAGGAGCAGAGGGAGAGGGAGAAGCAGACTCCCCACTGAGCACGCAGCCTGATGCAAGGCTTGATCCCAAGATCCTGGGATCATGACCTGAGCCTATGGCAGACACTTAACCGACTGAGCCACCTAGGCACCCTGGATGTTATTATATTTCTATAAATACTCGAGTTTTGTTCTGAGATGCAGTTAACTTACTTGGAATCAACTTGATCTTTTTGGGTCTGTTTTTAGAATTTGTTAGATGGGACCTGAGCAGAATTTGGTTGTAGGTTATTTTAATAGAGGCTAACTCCTTCTGAGTCCTCTACCTAATGCTCTATGAATTGTTAGGTTTTCCAGTCTGGCTGCTGGGAACAGGCACTATTCCATGCCCTGTATGAGTGTCTCATCATTTCAGGTGGTTCTTTACATTATCTTGGATTGTTAACTCACATATGTTGATCAATACTCAGCTAGATATTTGAGAGGTCCCTCTATAGATCTATGAAATTCATTCTTTGTACAGCTTTTTCTACTTTCATATTCTTCCCTGTGACCTTTAGTCTCTGACTTCCTGGACTGAAGAGCAATGTCTCTTCAGCTCAGGTTTGCTGGGCTATATCTGCGTCCCCCTTCCCCATGGCACAACCTAGAAACTCTCTCAAGACAGTAAGCCTAGGCAATCATAGGGCCTATCTCATTTATATCCTATCTTTCAGGGATCACTCTTACCTGATATCCTGTATCTTAAAAACTATTGCTTCATATATTCTGTCTATACTTTTTCACAAGAATCTTTTTTTTTTTTT